ACATGCACGGCCCGTGTACCTCAGAGTGTCACGGCATCTCTGTCACAAGCCGCTCATCCCAGCTATCCCATCCCTTCTCCAAAGGGCTCAGCTGTGAAGCTAACGCAGGCACTGGGGCCTCCATGCCTCCAGGGATTTGTACAGCACATCCATTTTGACTGCTGCTTGTTTCTATACCCAATCACAGAGAGCCCAAGATCTTACTGGGCTTAGCGACCTGTTTTCCTGAACATCTCCTGTCATTTTAAAAGCCTTGTCATTTCCCCGTGCATTGCTCAGCTCACGTCTGTAAAGCAGCTTCTATATCCCTGCATGGCAGTTGCCACTGAATGAGAAACATTTATTATCACTGCATAGCAACCTCAATACAATGCAGAAAGTTGTTACCTGCATGCAACCATGGGACAGATAATAATAAATATAATAAATGTATTCTAAATACAGGTGCCATTTTCCTTGCAGGAAACTTACTTCTGCTTTCTAGCAATGGGCTAATGACCCAGAAACTTCAGCAGAGGCAGTAAGTGTACCCCACCACAACCTGGAAAGCTTTGGCAGGACAGAAGAGTTTTATAGCAGCTTCCCAGTGCATTTAAGGTTCACTGGTGAAATGTTTAAAAGGAAGCTTTAGCCAGTCCTCTGTAGGAATTAGCAACATCAAAGTGTTATGCATAGAGCATATAACTTTTTGCCCCATTTTGGGGACTAGTCTACATATGGGTAAATCCTGACATTAGTCATTTCCTTCCTGCTCAATATTCTGGAGTTCTGTTTATTTCTCATCATCTAATGGTTTCCAAGTGTCTCCATAACATCGAAGTAATGAGTTGACATTTATTTAGGATATATGGAGATGTTTGAAAATTAACTTATTATTTTGTTCGCTTTTCAAATAGGATAATTGCATTAAAATTACTGCCTCCTACTTATTCCTGTTACAAACATCACTTTCCTTTTCTAATCTCAGAAGAAAATAAGAAAGGTCACCCAGAAGAAAGAGAGCAGTAGCTTGTTTTGCATCTTGTACCTTAGACTCAGTACTATTGTCTTAGCGATCTCAAAACCCAGGTGTCTGCATCAGAGCTGATCTAAATAGGAGTATGAAAATTCCTGTTAAACTGAAAAAAAAATAGAGATATACTTACCCTTTCCAAACAGCCAGTCTGCACAGGACTAACATCACATGGCAGTGCCTGAGGCCTTCTATTAGTACCACTTACTGCAGATCCAGGTGAGATCACTTGAAGTAGGGAGGAAAAGGTAATTTTCTGCCACTTATCAGCCTCCTGATCTTAGCAGCAATTGAGGCTGTATAGCATAGAAAAGTGAAAGTTACTCTAATGTGCATAGGCTGTGATTAGTCCTAAGGCTCTGCCATCTGCAGAGAAATCCTCCTCTCCCCTTCAGGGCTTCTTTCCTTTCTGTGCAGCTCAAAGGGAGCAGGCAAGGCTTAAGGAGCTGACCTTGAGTCTTGCCCTCATATTTTTTCCAGTATTTACAGTGGTAAACGAACACATAAGTATTTAGCAACACTGCTAATTTCTTGTCTTCTTTGGAACGGTAACACTTTGGTGCATTCCAGAAAACTCTGCATATTTCTTATACCCGTACCGTCCATTTTCTTGTCACAGACTTGGGTAGCTGCTGTGATGGATTTGGCTGTACACTGGCTGTTAGTGTCAGCAGCTGTCATGCAGCAAAAGCTACTGCAAAAACTACCTTTGACTCTCTTATTATAAGTCCTATGCACGTCTGGAGATGGGCTGAAGGAGACAGTTTAGGATCTGTGGTGTGATCTTCGCTCGCTCATACAGAAATATATCTTATTATTCTGCACCACCAAGTGGCCAGATTGAGCAGACATTGCAAGACATCTTTGGATCCAGGCATTAACCCAGATGGGTCTGGTCATGTTATGGAAGTTCATACTGGCCCAAACCAGCAACTAGAGAAAAAAAAATTTAATATAAAACCTCGTGTGTTGAAAGAAGGAAGTGTCACGTTTTCTCCAACATCCCCCGAGGTGTTCCTGAAGGTGTATTATCAGAACTACTTCAGTTCTCGTGTCAGGCAGAGCCCTTTGATGGGCTGCACACCCGAAACTCAGGCATATTTTAAGTATTTCAAATTAGTAACTCAAAACTGGTGGATGGTTTGGTAAATACGAGGCAAATATTTCTGAATAGCAATGAGGTGGTTGTGTCACAAGTAGGAAGAGAATACACATATCTCTGTTCTTTACCATTAGAGCTTAATCCCCACTGTCTTCAAAAACTGTAAAAAAAAAGGAAGACTGTATTTCATCCAGAAAAATGCATTACATGATCTAAATGGGAGCTATTTTCCCATTGTTTTGTACCTCACATCGCTTGTGCTCAGGAGGATTCAAAGTTGAGCTCTTACGCAGTCACTCTAGAGGTACAAATCAGAGCGAGCTCTGTTGCTGGCCAACATTTCTTGTCCAAAATCTCCACATGGCGTTAACAGCTGATCCCAACATTACATACCGCAATCCATATACAGTCTTGATATTGCAACAGGGCAGGGAGTCGTCCCTCATTCTGTTTCTGGGAATATCAGTTAATGCGTCAGGAAATTTCTTCTTTCAAGGACTTCTGCTCTCTGCTCTTCCCAAATCTCTGTTGGGGAAGAGAATTAATCCTGCCCATCCCTACCGTACTCACCATAGAGCTTCTTTTTATCCATGGAGTTCCAGTGAACAATGAAGCAACTCCACTTCATTCTCAAGATATATAATATCCCCATAAACCTTTACTAAAAATGCAGTCCTACTGTATGTCCTAGACTTTTGTATGCTTCATTCCACCGACAATTTTACTTATAAAATTGACTGTAACTCACAATGGATGGCTAGTTTAGTCATTACAGATTCGCCTGTTGACCTGTGTTTAGATTTTCTCAGTCTGCAGATTGGACCAATGTTTTCAGTGTGCAAGTAGAAAAGAAAATTACAGCTGGTTCTGTAACTACTGTTCAAACTTTTTTTTAAAATTGACACAGCATGTATTTAGTGTAGGTGAAAGTGTAATACTGGGCTAACCAAAACAAGAAGAGATTAATGTATCCATCCAAACAGAAATGGCAAGAATAATCTGAATTGCAGAGTTACCTGTAAGAGTGACTATTTCAGCTGAATTCTTTACTTGTTTGCCAGACAATTTCATCAGCCATAAGAAGGGAAGCTGCAGAGTCAGACAGTTTGAATTCCTTCCCTCATTTTTTTACATTTCCATCTCAGTTTAAGCAAAGCAAATTTCTCTCTTCTTCGTTAGGACACTGAAGGAAATTGAAGCATTGCATTGTACAGTGTAAAACATTATTGCAAATGAGTCTATTTTAAAATAAAGAAGGGCCCTTCAAATAAAGAAGAAAACCTCCAGGTAGCCATACCATTGAAGGAAGTTGGTCAGCTTTGTTGAAATGCTGTTAGACATGAAGCCATCAAAACAGAAATAAAAGCAAGTGTGGTGTCTTGAGATATGTGCATGAGGTAGGCTTCCACTCTGAGGAAGAAGGGAGAAAAAGATGTTAATTAGTTGCATCACTGGCTGAGGATCTTAAATAATAATTTCATAAATAGTATTTCCTTAAATAATATTTTACTTAAGTCTCATTTCAGAGTGTCTCACCGGCTCATCAGTCTCTTACTGAAACTCTTTGTTACCTGGATTTCTGTGGGCCACATGGACAGATGCTCCCTGGGAGTTAGGAACCCAGCTCAGTGCTTTATGCCTTCCTGTATTCCAATGGGAGCCAGGCTTTCAACCTGCCTAAATATCTCAGTCGGTCCTTTGGTTCCTGAGCATTTAGGCCCCAAAGTATTTTTCAGTGCCCAGCCCTGTAACCATATTCCGACAGCATAATTTCACCTGTGTCCCTGTGTCTGGAAATTCATAGTTCCCTGATGCATGTGTCACTTTAGATCTGTGAACTGAGCCTTGGAGGCCTTCAAAGAAAACTCTCTGACTTGGGCACATTGGATGTTGGACACAAGCCATATACATAGAGCCTCAATGCTTGTGTTTCCCTTGAAAGTAAAAATTTTAAGTCACTCGTAAGCCCCAAGGTCACAGTAGCAAGCGTCAGTTCTGACCTGTGTCTGCTGCCTGATGGCTGAGGAACTGAGAAGTAAAATTGGGATGGAGGCACTTGAAAGGCTCGGAGGGATTTTATGTGTGTGCCTCTCCATTCCTGATGTAATGCACAGCAGTATGGGAGAAATCTAGCAGGGATAAAAGCAGATGTTGAAAACTAAACACAAATACTGGAAATGTAATTGTGCTTCTGATTATTTAAATAAGGACAAATTAAGAAGGAAGAATAAAGAGGAAAGGTGTTTGTCTGGAGCGCAGCGATGCCTGGAGACCTCTGCCACGAGCAGAACGACATTGTGCTGAGCATTCTGCGAAGAATTAGCAAGATTGCACCAGGAGGACTGACACACCAAATAAGTAAATCAGTAAAATATGATCGTCCGCATTTTACAGCTGATTCTGAGAAACAGAGAAAGATGAAGCGACTTGTCTGAGAATTGATTCCAGATTTGCCCAGGGCTCTGCGCACATTTCCACCTTGGAAAGCAGTGCCACGCTGGGAGAAGAAAGCATTGGCTACCACCGAGGAGTGGGAGGTCACAAATTGGATGCCGTGTTGTGCTGCTGGTGGGATGGATCCTCGCTTCACCAGTCCGTGGCCTGCAGTAGGGATGGCAAAACACCCTACGGCTGTCTCTGTATCGACCGAAGGCATTTGCCCCATGGCAGTGGTCCCGCAGCAGCAGGCAGCAACAGGGTGACACTCCGGGGTTAAGGATGTGACAGTTTTAGTCTTTGAAATGACAGCAGTTGTGGGACAATATATCTGTAGGATCACAAATTGTAAAAGACCGCTTGCAAATGTCCTTTGACTCCAAAAAGACAAGGTTTTAGTGCTTGAGAATTGCTCTAAATTTAGATTGAAAGTCCCTTCTTTCTGACAAGATGGCCGCAGGAGGCCACTACTACTCACGTACTCTGCTAGGGACTAGCTATTGCCATGGAAGCGGGAAGCTTTGTAGACTACCTCCAGTAGACCAAAGGTACAGAATAACATGACAGATTCATTCAAAGTCTTCCTTCAATTTTGTGCCGCATCATTATTTCCCTTTTGCACCTCAGGGCACAGTGAAGGTCTTTCCTCGAAACCATCACCAGGTCAAGCAGGCAAAGCTGGATGCTTTCCTCACCTTCTCTGCTTCATCCACAGGACCCATATGTCATTCCTGGGATTAAACCCTGGCACCGTTTGAAGTCAATGAGAGTTTTGCCAACGATTTTCAATGCAATGAGGATTTCATCCTTTGTTCATCCTGTGCCGGCTGGGCTAACGATGTTCAATTAGAAACTGCTCTTTGTTCTAGTGCAGTCAAGAGGATTTTTGCCAATGATTTGGATGAGCATTGGATAAAGCTTATGGCTAAATCCAGTCCTTACACAGAAATCCATGGATCCTGCTGAATTGTTTTTCTCCCAGTGAAATTAATGGGAGCTGTAAGAGAACATCTAACGGAAGATTTAGTTCCTGTTTGTAACAATATGTTACCCCCTGATACTGGGCCTGCTTTGAAATGTTTATTGTTAAATCCGTGTATTTTTGGTTATATCTCATTAAGAACATAATACAGCCTTGGAAAGTACATTCTGAAAGGGTATTACAACAGGATTGGGATTACTGTTTGTGAGGCACTTTTAACTAGGGGGAAATTTCAAATTCAATTTACAGTAATGTCAAAGCACAATTAATATATAGGCAATGATAAGGGGAACATGCAGAAGTACACATTGATAGCACTACATCAACAAATAAACTTTTGGTGCTAGTAATTAGGTACACAAGATTATTATATGTTTAATTGACTAAAGTGACAATTTGGAATTACATCTAGTCGCATTTAATTGGATTTGGAATCTCTAGAGGAAAGGAAATGGAGAGCAGCGTGGAGAGGCAGCCATAAAAGCAAACTGATTTTCTAAAGTCTGTTAAGACTCTGCATTAATATCCATTGCACAATAGTGTTTTAATATCCTCAGTCTAGAAAGAGTAATGTAATGATTGTCACAGACAGTGGGAGTACTAAAGCATACTCTATTAGGTAGCAAGATAGCTGATTACTTTTAGTTGGGTGGGGGGATTAAGATATAGTTTAATCACAGCTGAACTATGTCTGAGTTTGCCATAGATAAGTGATATTCTCAGACTACCAAGCTATGGGGTGTTATACATGTTGATGCTGTCCTAGAAGAAATACACTAACGTATATTTCACCCACAAATACTTCAAAGCAAAAAAAAAAAGAAAAACCAGACTAAAATATTGTATAGCAGTCATTAAATGTTTGCTCTGAGTGAAATATGGAAAAGCTATTAAAAGAAAATGTAGGGTAGTTTTCTCACAGTTAGTTTAGCCAGCTTAAAAATGTTTACTAATGCTTGTCTTAAAGTTGGACAAAGACTGAGAGTTTTGTGTAATCTTTTGATACAAACCTCAGGTTACCCTCTTTTAATATTACCTCATTTAAATATTGCTATATACTTCCTTCTCTCCCTGTACACTCATTTATTTTGCTTTTGTCATCAGGAGCGCCATGATTGCTGACTACATATACTGGCTGACAGGAGGCACTGATCGGCTTACAAGCAAGCTCATCAAACTGTATTGGCAGGTAAAAATTGATAGCCCAATGAGGAAGGAGGTGCCTATCTCACTATTAAGACAAAAATGAAGGATTACTGCTTAAAAGACTGCCGACAAAGGTAGCTCTTGGGCATATCAATCAACAGGACAATGTATAGAACTACTGTATTTATAATGAAGTAGATTTTCTTGGACTAATTTTAAGGGCAAAATTCAAGGTTGTTAACCCTTGGCTCATACGTCAATTTTATGGACTGCTATAAAATTTAATTCTGGATACTGTATAGTCCCCTAAGCTATTTTTTGTGAAGTCTTCCTACCTTAGTGACACTTTCTTTTTGCAATTTGCATGATACTAATCCTCTGACACCTTTCCAAACTCTTCAACCGGAAGGGGAGGAAAAAAATGACTGTAACAAATGGTCTCAGAGAAACTTAAAGTACTCTGTGAAGGATGGCTAGGTAAGACCCCAGTCCACAAGGATTACTTATGTGGGGAGTAGTCCATTGACTTCAGTGAGACTCATCTCTTGAGTGATACTTATTTGAGATGGCTGTTCAGCCACATCAGCACGAATTTAAGTTTAAGGGTACCTGCTTCTTCTTTGAGGAGAGCTCTTACACAAACTTGGAGGTGAATGGATGCTAGATCCCTTGCTGGGAGAGACTTATCCCTACCAGTGGTGTCTCAGCCTTCATCCGCTGCCCTGGTTTCAATGTGACCAAGGGGCAATTCAGAGGGAGTGCAGCGTTTGGGCCTCAGCAGTGGAAGACCCTTCTGCCTGCCAGATTAGACCTGGCCCTCGAGTCCTCCTTGTCCATACAAGGAATTTAACGATACTGGGACAATACCGTAGACCTGGCCCTCAAGTCCTCCTTGTCCGTACAAGGAATTTAACGATACTGGGACAATACCTGTCCCTTGCGATAAAATTCCAGAGTCTGATTCTGATCCTGTTTATTTTGGGTTTATTCTGTGAGGCCCCTTGTGATAAAATTCCAGAGTCTGATTCCGATCCTGTTTATTTTGGGTTTATTCTGTGAGAACATCTGTGACATCTGTACTTTATGTGTAGTGGTGTAACGTGTGTCTGACATAAGCCAGAGTAATAAAGATCAGAATCTGGTCTTTTATCTTGACTTACACGGTAAATTCTTCCTTTTTAAAACTATTATTAGTTGCAATCTTATTGGTAAAATGGAATAAACCTCAGTCCTGGGAGCTACTGAATTTCAGTACTGCTGTGAGTGCAAAGTGCATCTCATTCAGTGAATTACCCACTGGGCTAGTGTTTGCAGTGCCTGTGAACTTTCTTACATGCTTTCCAGCAGAGAATTTCTTCTGTACAGAACAGTTTGATTTTTTTCCCCACTGGGTCAGACTCGTTTAAAATCTTGAGTTCACAAACAGGTTTTATGAAGGGGTCATTTCTTCGAATGGAATGTCTTTTTTTGTCTCTTAACACTGGTATCCATTGACTTCCCTTCTTGATGTCATGGATATGAAGCTTCAAAGAATAAACCTTTAAAGGAGGAGCTGTCATAGCTGTCCTCTCCCCCAGGGGTTCAGACTGTCCTGCTATGTAACAGGGCTGAAAAAGTGTCATGAAGGACAAGATTCATCATAGTGCCTTCTCGTAGAGTCTAAACCAGAAGCTGTGGTTGAGCTAAGGTGGGAATGAACCAGAACAGAAGTGGGGCTCATGAATCACTTCCAGCCATTAACATCATCTTCTAGAGCACAAGGGCTTTTTGGATTTTGGCAGTGGTAGGACTCTGGTTCACCTCTGCTTCACTCCAGAGCTCACAGCTCATTTCTCTTCCTGACAGTGAGTTCGTGCGTAGGCCTCCCTGCATCCCTGTAGTACCAAGAAGCATCACCATGCTGTTTGTGCCCCATTCCCTTTCCTTCTCTGCCTTTCTCCTGAACCTGAGTTGCTGTCATCTTTGCCTGCAGAAGCTTTGAAATGTCAGTAGAGATCTAACCATTTGTTTGATCCCCCCCTCCGCTTGATTCTCACTGGGAGACAGAGATTGCTCTGCAATTTTGTGCCTTTTGTGCGTATGCCGTGGCGTGGGCTAGGCTAAGGATTCAGCGGTATCTATACGCTGACACACACGCAGTAGAGGCAGCTGGGTGCCCAGTACTGCTCCCACTCAAGTTAATAGCTAGCACTTAAGAAACGCTGTTCATGAAGATATATCCCCAGCACCAGTAACAACCTTTTCCTTCCTGAGCTGATGAGCTCTGTGCACTCAGCATCAGGGGTGACTTCAATGTCATCAGAGCACACAGCAACAATTACGCAGGGTGATGTGGCATGTGACACTGCACTGGGACTTTCCACCACAGAGAGACCAAGCAGAGGTAACATAATCTGTTTTATTAATATTCTCTCTATCTCATGGTGTAAAGCTGAAAATAACTTGTCACGACTATACATGCTCATGTGCCTTTGTAACCAAAGCAACAGCTATTGATGCACGCTTTTCTTGCTAACTACTCCTCTGCCCCAGAACTCGCTAGCGTTAGCTCACAACCATGAGCAAAATTTTCTGAGGAGGAAGAGAATAGATGGAGAACAGGATGGTTTGTTTTTTACTTCTGTGAAGAAAGATTTTTAGATTAGATATGTCACTCTGCTTTGATCAGTGGGTCATGTATATAATCTTCTGGTGTGTCATTGACTACTTTTGGGTTTTCTTTTCATTATTCTTTTAACTGCTGGAAAAGGCTTTTCCTCCTCACAGCCTGTCTTCTACTTCTTTCATGGCTTCAAAACATTGTACAGACCACTCGAATCCTTCAGCTGATGTCTTTGCTGCAAAAAAAAATGGCCCTTAATTCACATCTGCAAAGCTCTTTATTTATCCTACTTCTAAATCACTGGTTTTTCTTTCCTGATCTATTCCTCGTGCTCAGAGCAGTCTTCATCTTGTATCTGCTTTGGTTTTCTTCTCCTGATTTTGGTTTTATACTTTCCTTTGAACTTCTGTCCCTGACATCAACTGCCAGGAGTCCTCTTTCTTCAAAACTCTTCTTAAAACATCCTCAAATCGCTCCCCTCCACATTATTAATTTTCACATATTTCTTCTTCAGCAGTAATCTGTTCCGTGTGACTGTGTACCTCCTCTTAGGCACACTGCAAGGTTTATACTGTCAGATTTTTTAAGGCCAGATGGGCTCATATTGATGAATTATCTGACTTCCTGCATAAAAACACAGAATTGCACCCTTACCTTCCTGCATTGGTGCCAAAAGAGGAAAGCAGAGACTGGTTTTGAGAAAGTCACCTAATCCCCATTCGAACAGTTTAATAATAGAATATTTACCATAACCCATCTAACAGATGATTTGTTGCATGATCGTCCTGTTTCTCCCCCAATTTACGAACTGGGATCCTGTCCAGTCCAAACTTCCAGCAATTTATGTTATGCATTCATCTCTGAAAGCTTAAAGATCCTTTAGTACTTGCTATCTTCTCTCTGTATATGTACCTATGGATCATGATCAAGGCAACTTTAAATATTCTTTTTGATTAGCTTTTTGATTAGCTTTCTTTGATTATCCCCTTTAAAGTAAATCATCTATTTCTGGATCTTCTGTACAGTGATATGTAATATCTAATGCCCTGTGTTGGTTTTGAATATTAATACCTGCCTTCCATTCCACTCTGAGATAAAGGTATAATGCTGATGAGAGGTGAAAAAGTAATTTGCAATGGATAATACTATTCAGTGTGTTGGGCCTTTTTCTCTGTTCAAATATTTTATTCCATGGATTGAAAATATACATTCCAAGTTAACATATAATCAAATGGATGGGCTTTTTTTCGTAACCCACTACAGAATATGCACTGGATGATTTGTGTATCGGTTGTTAGATTAAAAATAGGTGAGTTAAATAGAGTTCTTCACAATAAATAATAATGTAAAAGTTATTAAATGTATTATGGTAGACATCTTCAGAGTCGTAGCAGCAAGACAAAGTTTAAACTTACTTATTATTATAGTCAGGTAAGCTTCCCAGCATTTATCGTCAGCAATGCGATTTCTCAGCTGAATAGCAAAATGAACAATAGACTTGAGATATTTCATCCCATAGACAGAGTCCCTTTCCAAAGTGTCCAGTTTTACTCACACCTGTGTAAACTATTTCCACTGGCTAAAAACTGTGCAATAGAAGCTGGATATTTCATTCTATGAGTAAGAATATATCACACCAATACAACAATGTCAAAACTGCCCAACATGGTTAAACAGGAACTTTGCAAGTATCTTGACAGTCACAGCCTGATTTCACCAATATCTGGCACAGACATTTAGTATAAAGTGTCTTTATTACCTAATTTATAAACATCTCAGGCTTAACTCATTAGCACACTACAAATTTAATTGCTTTTATTATTCCATTGTGAAAACCATGTGGCCTATTTCATACTAAAGGTTTGGCTCTAGCATCCGTTATGCACTTCTATCCAAAGTCAATCCCATCTAGGCAAAGTCTTACACTAAGTGCCATGGCACCAGCAACACATACGTTGCAGAAAATAACAGAACCCCGGGAAGGCGTTTCAAAGCTCGTAGGTTCATATCTGTGTGCTTCCGTAACCATCTGTACTGAAAGCCTTAATTCCATAACATAGCCAATGTGTATCTGCTACAGCTCAAATGGGGACCTTCCATTTGCATTGGAGTAAACTGGGGTTTAACTTTAGTTCCAGTTCAACCCCAGCATTTTGGCCAAGATTGCAGCCATCACAGAGCCGCTCTTAGCACATTGAAAATATTGGCTCTGTGACTGCTGCACACGGAGCTCACGAACTTGTGTTTCTGAGAATATTTCTGTCAGTTAAACTCAACATCACAGAGAAAGCTTCCAGTAGCACATATATTGGCTGACATGGAAGTTTGGGTATTCAAACATTTGTTTTTCTCTCTTGTTGCTGTTGTGAGCATCAGGTGCTTCCACTTCAAAAATCTGGGCCGTTGCAAGCACAGAGCAATACACTCATCACACAATAAAG